GTACGAAGCCTTTTGGCATTCCACGAAGCCAGTATTTCCTCAGTTTTTACCTGGTCTCAACATGCGCAATTCGGCAATTCGGGAAACATAGTTGGTGGGGAGGGGGGGCGCCTAGTACTAGCAGCAGCAGGAGGAGGAAGAGGAGGAGTATAGGAGCCGCAATACCAACGTGCATATCTGGTCGTGGAACATTCCTAGAATTCTGCTGAAATCAGCTTAGTATGCCCCAGAAATCTGTGGCATGTACTGCCGTCCCATGCGCACGCAACGGAGTAATGCAATGGCCCCTTCTTTTTTCCCGAGCACACCGTGACTAGTACGTTCATGCCCAAACCAGAACAGCGTTCGTTTTCCAAGAGCATACGGTGACAAGGGCATCTGTGCCCAGACCAGAATAATGTTCCTGTTCCAGGATTGTAGCATTCATGTTCGAGAGCAAGCGACGACCATTTTAGATTATTTTGTGTCCCTCTGGCATTTGTAGTCCACATGTTTGTACGCAGGGGTGTCAGGAGGTGCAAGACCCAACGCACCAGCAAGCCAGCATGCAAGAAAGGCATCAGCAGGAGCTTCTTCTCCTGACGTGCAAAATCGATGGCTTTCGCAGTGTTTTAAACACTTCGTAGTGCTAAACGCGCTATGTTTTGCACGTTATATCACATCATTAAACACCCACAAGCCCAAAACACTGGGAAGGTTGTCGATTTCGCAGAAACTGAAAAGACAAATGTACAAAACAAAGCACAGCCAGATACGCACGTGTGTAGAGTAACTTGTGGTAGTGGCAGTGGTGGTAGTGGTAGTGGTAGTAGTAGTAGTAGTAGTAGCAGCAGTGGTAGTGGTAGTGGTAATAGAAGTAGTACTAGTAGTAGTACCACTACGATTGCTACTACTACTACTACTACTACTACTAGATGTAGCAGCAGCAGCAGCAGCAGCAGTAGCAGTAGCAGTAGCAGTAGCAGTAGCAGCAGCAGCAGCAGCAGCAGCTGCAGTAGCCGCAGCGGTAGCAACAGGATAGTAAGAGACGTAAGTGTAGACAGGTAGGTAGGTGTCCGAGGCGATACGGGCAGGGCTGCAACTGCTACTAGTACAGCAACGACAATTACAAGAGCTGCTGCTGGCACAATGACAACTACTACTGCCACGACTGCTGCTCCTACTTAGATTTGACTGCTAGTGTGGGACAAGGCTGTTCAGATTTAGTTCGGTTCTGTCAGGAGAGCTGTTTACGTGAAAGACGGCGGTTCCATTCAGAGTTCCACGGTAAGCAGCTGCATTTAATCAGGAGCTTCCAGATGCGAAAGACGGCATCCATGCCCTAACCTTTCTGGACCAGCGTCTGGCGACAGCTTGCGGCCCGGACTGCACCATGGAGGGAAAAACAATTATCTGCAGGATGGACTTGTCTTGTGTGTTCGGGGCACTTGGGAATGGGAGGTATCGGCAAAATACTCCGCCTTATGAGTTCAAGGTCTTTCAATGTGGTGTTCAAGCCAAAGTTCCAGAGCTTGCACACACAGTGCAAAGTGAGAGGGCAGCCCAAAAACGATGGCTGCAATTTGCGGATCAGATTTCCATCTCAGGATGTGTTGATCGCTTAGGGTGTTTTGCAATGGCTCTTGACTGGCTTTGTTTTGGTATCCAGACTAGTATATCTCGCATACTCTCCATTTGCTCACTACTGTAGCTGCAAGTTTGCAGACGGACTACGTGAATTCAAGCAGTTCTGAGCTCAGAAGAAAACAAGCGCACTGCCTCACCCAGGTAAGGATGAAGGCACCTTGCGAGCGTATGACTTCCTCCAGGATCCGATATCCTCAACCAAGTCGGGAATCTGGTTGAGCATGTTTTTCTTGCGTAGCCTCAAGAACTTGCGCATTCCGTGCTTAGCGGCCTAGCAGAGGGTGGAGAGCTGCTCACTGTTCAAGAGTCTCGTTCTGAAATTTCTGAACTGGAACACGGCAGTAGCTTTGCAGGATCGCGTGGATAGAGAAACAGTACCTGTACTGGTTCACGACCTGGTCCTGGACATGAAGCGGGAGGGTCATCGAATGGAGGCAGACAAATTACGCGAAGCCTACGGCCTTGAGGACGGATAACACTTCCAATCGCAGAATTGGATGCACTTTTGGTGTATGTCGTGGTTTTTCCCGAAGACGGGTCTGCTTTTGCGAGGATTTTCCAATGTTAAAGGTGCTGCGGGACGCCGAGAAGGATGGTATCTGGGCACAAAAAGTTCTGATTCTGAAGCTAGGCTTTAGACTGTGAAGCTGCAGAATCACGAGAGTCTGTTCTATATGTTCTTGTCAGGTCTTTTGGCCGTGGCAGTATCAAACGACTTTGCAGCAGCTGCCGGCAAAGATGGACAGGTACGGGTCTACAGTTTGTCTGAGGACGGGGTTCGGCAAGGTCAAGCAGAGAAGTATTCGATGAATGCGTAACCGGAGCATTGAATGTTGTGTGTGCATAGACAAGCGCAGTTGCTGGGACATCGTTGTTGAAGCTTACGCCAGCGTTAGCGGCCTTGTCCGAGGACCTAATTTTCGGAAATTTGGGATTCGAGCGAATCAGATTACCAGTGCCATGATGGTCATGCTCGATGGCATCTTTTTACCAGTGCATCCAACCATAATGATGGTCATGCGTGAGTTCATTCGATACTAGTGACTCCCTGTCCACATCGTCACGATGTTAGTGCCGTTCATGTTGGAGCACGTCTGATGACAAGTGCATCCATGCCCAAACCACGGTAGCGCTCAAGTTTGCGCGCATCCGTTTACGAGTGCATCCATGCCCAAGAGTCCCAAGAGATAACAGCGTTCATGTTCGAGCGCATGCGGCCATCGGTGCATGCTTGCCCGTTGGAGCATGTTGGAGCATATCCGATCACCAGTTCATGCATGCCCAAAAACATAATAACTTTCATAAACGACCACATCCGATACCCAGCGCATGCATTTCTTTACCTTAAGACAACGTTCATTCTCGCGGGTATTCGATTTCCATTGCATCCATGTCCGTACCGCCACAACGTTCATGAACCATCACGACATTCATGTCCGAGCGCATCTGATCACCAGCGCATCCATGCCCAAGCCAGAATCATGATGATGTTCGAGCTTAACCAGTTATCAGTGCATCCTTGTGCAAACCATAAGAATTATCGTTATCAACGTTCATGTTTGAGCGCATCTGCATATCTGCCTACCAGTGCCTACATTCCCGAACTAGAATAAGGTTCATGTTTTTACTGCATACGACTACTAGTGATTACCAGTGCATCCATGCCCGAACCATAATTAGTATCATGTTCGAGTGCTGAGATGACAAGGGCATGCATTCAGAAAATTGTGATATTGTTCATGATCGAGAGCTGCTTCCTACTACCCATGCATCCATGTCTCAACCCCACAACGTCATCAACAGGTTATAGCGTTCTTGTTCGAGCGTACATGTTCGAGTTAGAGCGTACCCGATTACCAGTCCATGCATCGCCAAATCATAGTAGCGTGGCCAGTGCATCCACGTCCAAAGCATCACAACGTTCTCAACGTTCATGTTGGAGCGAATCCGCTTACCAGGGCATGCATTCCCCAATCATAATAACGTTCATGTTCGCGCGTATCCGATGACCAGTACCTACATGTTCAAGGCCGCTAAGAAGAAGAGAGCCCCTGTTCTCAGCTCTTGTTTCTGGAAGTACGCTTACGCGAAGGCCTTTCGCCACTCAGAGCCGGACCATGCCAGACCTGTCAGCACGCATGTCCCGTATCTTCCGCAAGTTGTGGGACAGCAGCGAGTCCAAGACCTTCGCTTGCAATTCCAGCTTTAGTTTTAGGGCTGGATGAAGGTCAAAGGGCCATGGTTTGGCTCACCCTTGGGGATTTCCTACAATTTCTAACTCCAAAGGCTGCACATATTGTAATTTACAGCATTGAAAGCTTCTCGCGAACAGAAATATTGAAAAATTCGCCAGCTCTGGCCTCCGAGCTTTCTGGATTTCCGGCTTTTCGGTGGTTTCGTGGCTTTTAGCTTCTTGGCTTCTCGGCTTCAAGGGCTCTTGGCTTCTCGGCTTCGGTGGCTTCTCGGCTTC